AGACCTAGAGCCAAAAAATATCGTGAACTTGAGGCAACAGACACAAATTAACAGACATCATTGCAATCACCTATTCACATGAGACAAACACACATTCACAAGGCAACTACGTGCCAGTGTTTGTCGCTTCGGCTTGAATGCATTGCTTCTGTCCCAGTTCTTGATCACGAAAATTCAGCATTTGTTTTTGTGTCCAGCCGTAAGAAAATGCGACTTTTAGTCGATCGCAGAATTCTTCACTCGATAGCTGTCAGATTATATGACGACAGGGTATCTACACCCTTGCCGTCTGACAGACCGTGCAGCTACAGCTGCGAGAAGCCATGTATGTTACCTTGGCTGTAACGCACGGGTTTAATACACCAATGGCTGGCATCGGGTGGTAAGCCGTGACACATAGAAGGCACACCCAAGCGGAAGCGCCTCTCCCAAGCCTCGATTCGGGTCCGTGGAATATGCGACCTTGCGGTGGCCACTACTGATTCGAGAAACCACGCCACGGAAACGGGCGTATGTAAACTCTACCAGGTGAGGACTAGTGGACATCGACAGGTGTGACCCGTGATGATCAGGTCAAGGGAGTGGAGGGTATTATTGCATTGGCACCCCGACCTCATCAGCAAGTGGACAAGTTACATCAACAGGGAAATAGCGTCAGCGACCATCCAGAATTATGGGACATGTACCATGGTGGCTCGTATCGTGTGATCTGCCAGTCATCAAGGCCAAGTTTTGACCCAACATGACCAAGAATGAACTGACCTTGCAAGAACAGCCAGAACGATAGTAATTCACTGCAAAGGGATCAAGTAAAAAAATTAAGAAACCTTCTTGGAGTGCATTTCCTGAGAGAAATAAGCGAGAGTTAGAGAGTTATGGTGCTATATATATATATATATATATATATATATATATATATATATATAAGGTGTTATAATGTCACATATATAGAGAGAGTTATGGTGCTATGAGATGTTATGTTATGGTGTTATAAGGTGTTATGTTATGGTGTTAAATATATATATATATATATATATATATATATATATAAGCGAGAGTTATGGTGACGTCTGAGCAAACGTCACCAACATGACCTCGGGAAGGAGGTCATCAATCATGAACCGACAAGGTCGGAAGTTTCCGTGCTTCACATATGACAAAATAATGCTATCTTAGCTACCCAAATTTAGTGCCGTGCTCACAGCGACTTAAAAGTTCTCCGGAAAAGTGTTCCCAGCATCCGGGACCCCTCGTATGGTTAGGGGTAAAACGTGACCACCGGCTTTGCGTTCGTGGTCGCATTTCCCTTCCTTTATCTCTGTTTTGCACTTGATGCACTCGCCGCAATTGCTCTGCTAGTTTTATCACTATCTTTTTGGATCACTTTGCCTGTTTCATGGAGAATAGCATATTTCGTATTCTACAAGGACTCCAAGCCAGATCGGTGGATTCATTGGATAAGCCGCTGCCGCTAAAGCTATAATATACCGTTCCTTGCCTCTCATCCTGGCAGGATGGGCGGGTACCGCGGCAAATCGAACCTCGTGCCTCCAGTTTCCTCGAGACATGTAGCATACACCACTGTAGTGCCGGAGCGCCGAGCCAAAGAGGTGTGTTCAGACTAGCGAGACCTTTGTGCAACGGTGACCTGTTGATCAATGCTTCCAAGTGTGGTTTTCGCGTGCACTAGTGATTCCCGATCTTACATATACCGGTCTGTACGTCTACCACGTCTTTGTGCGATAGTGCCGGCTTTCACATTGTGGGTGGTGATGTATCGGTGCTGGGTGGTCGCCGTTGTCTCCAGCGCTGTCTGCACGCGAGACCTCGCGAATAACAGCTCGACACGCAAGCCAATGCTCACTTAACACGACGCCCGAGCTGGCCGGGGCCGCGGCAGCGCGGTTCACCTTACGCGATCGCTGCTTCAGCGCGGCTCACCTTCCGCGATTGCTGCTGCAGCACGACTCACCTCCCGCGATTGCTGCAGTGCAGCGCGGTGGGGTGTGGTGCTGCATGTCTCCGCGCGATGTAATGTTCGTCTGAGACAGTGCAGGCACGACGACAGCAGCAGCACGTGAATCAGCACGGGCTGGCTGCTTCACGGCTGCACGCCGACAGGAAAGTCTGTCACCAAACCCGCTCAGATGTATGGACCACCGGCAATATTTAATAATGTTGTCATCGTGGTGGACAGTGGTCGTTTCGGACAGCCACGCAGAAGCGTTTGATGGGCCTGATGAAAGATCGTGAACCGGGTGTACTGCTGTCACGCTGCAGCGCGACATGAGGCGCAGACGAGATATTCCTGCGCTCCGCTTTGAGTTTATGAGCGAAAAATCTTGACTCTTCTGTGCTTACCATCTTGTGACCTACCTGTGTTACCACAAATTATAGCAGTGCAGCTTAGCAGGCTAAAGTGTTCCGACTATGTAGTCTTTCTAGACGATTAATAGAGGTGGCAGGGAAACAGAACGTTCGACAAAAACACCCCATCGTTAGAAAAATTTTGAGTAATATATATATATATAGAGTGACGACTGCTGAATCCATAACTGAATCAAAGCTCGACGCCAAATCCATTTTAATATAAGGTGGCTGACATCTGGATTCCGTTACAGACGCTGCAGACGACCGAGGCGTCCCTGACCTCTGAGTTTGACCCGGAGAAAGTGCAGACGGAACGGTGGTGAATGTTCGACTGCGCCACTGCTCCTTCACCGTATCACTGCATCTCTAGCTTCTGCAGGTGGGCTCAGGCTTCCCCTACTGCCATCAGCTTTCGCAGCTGAGACGTGGGGTAAATGTCGGCAAATAATGTCAAGTAAATGTCAGCTTGTCATATACCAAAAAGTCAACCACATTAAAAGCAACCGTCGCCCTTGAAGGGACTACACGGAGCTGCAAGCGGGACGCCACGTTTGGTGCGGCTATTCTTGGATTTCGTGGCATCATGCTGCATGAAATCCAAATTTGATGAAGACGAATCCAATCAACCCCGAATGGTTCATAATTCTTGGCAACCCCGCGCTTTCTGGAATTGGCCGTCACTTCGAGGGCCGTTGCCGGGTCGCCGGATGAGACGGGGATATTATTGCTCCTTGGGCGGCTCGCCGACACTGCTTACGTTTTGTCTGGACCTTGTCAACTTTTCTCGTCGCGCTCGCACTCGTTGGCCCAGCCAGGGTGCCGGATGTGTTGCGCGCTTCTCTTTGTAACGTGATCAGAGAGCTGATGCCGAAGCCGGTCCACGAATTTAACTCCGATGCGGTGTTTTCGTAGAATGGTAAAAGTTGACCAGGGGCGGTGCGGTAGATGGAGGTTTGTTTAAGTTTGAGTTACGGGCTTTCAGAAGTTGCGACGCAGGCGTGGTCTTTAGATTTCGGGTCGATGGGGCGGAGACACGTGATTTGTGTTGTGGCAGGGACATCACAGAAGCATGGCCGTGGCACCACGTGCCGATATCTGACGCTGGCAACATGCGTCTCACCTTTTACGCCGACACACCCGGGTTCAGAATTGTTATCGGATGTGGCGCTGCCTCTGTCGACTATGCTTGATTAACCCCAAACATGATCTACATAGCCCCTCAGTGATTCGGCTGCCGTGATTTAATGCCCTAGCCTAGCGATCAGAAACTCATTACAGATAATGCCGCATAAATCACGAATGAAATCCTTCTTGAACGTTCCGTGCATGCACTCAAATTAAATGATGATGAATGCAGCCGGCTGGAAACTACGCCACACGCGGTCGGCGCGTGTTCCGGTGATAAGAGTTATGGCCGGGAGCCATGCCATCACTGTGTGGCCTTATCGAGGTCTGGTCCTTGTGACTATAGCAGCGGTGGATGGCCGCCGCCGCGGGCTAGGGTGCTCACTGGGAAGCGGTGCTGACGGCCGGCCGGCTCGCTGTGCTGTGGCGTGCCTCCGTGATCGCCGGCCGCCCGTGAGGTCCCTTCTGCTGGCGGGATCAGCGCCCGCGAACCGCGGCTCGCGAGCGCTGATCATGGCCGACGTGGGGTTGTGGACCGGCAACATTTTCAGGTGGCCCAATATTTTTGCAATTTACTTTATAGTCAAGTGGCAAAACTGTTGGCCTTGCAATGTTGACTACCGCCAAATTTTTCACGGAAAGGTGTTTTTATATCATGAGGAAATCCAAATAGGTTTGCTATTTTTGCAACCTGGAGGATTTCTCAGAATTCAAGACGGCGGTCGTCGCAGTAGGATGATTTGTGAGCTGAGATATCGCGTCCTGGAAGAGTGTCGTGCCATTCACAGAGTTCCGTTTTGCAGCGACGAATTTCTAAACGGACGCAAATCCGATAGTGCATTTCTGTATATAAACCGTAGCCTCCTATAATACATGCATTGTGCATATGGCGCGTGTTCAAACTATTGTTGTTTACAGCACATTCAGCTGCTGTGAGTCGTGTCCTTACCATGCGTGCGAGACGACGGCAATCGGCCTATATCGATTAATGAAGTAAATTTGGTGATTCAGGATCGCGTTTGACCTTTGAATTTTGCGTTCCCTGGGATCAAAAGTTTCTAAAAATATATCACACGACCCTCCAAGTCGTCAGTATAAAGCTATAAAACTGGACTAACATTCAAGGCCGCGGCGCTCTGCGAAGCGTACGAAAAATCAAACAACCTTACGTGGTCTTCCTAGCTACAAAAAGCTATTTGCTTAGAAGACTTCCGTAAAAAGTTCTCGGTGGTTAAAATTCTAGGATATGATTTAGGAAGCATGAGGCAATAGAGGTGATTTTCGTGAGAGAAATGCGTAACAAACGGTAGAAAGCAAGGTCATTTGGACCTGCTAGCCACATAAAACATGTTCTCGTAAAAAGGTTTTCGGTTACGTAAGTTGTTCAGTGCATTAGCGAGGAGCATTATTCACGTAGATAAGACAGTAGTACTAGGCTTATTCCTCGGCAGGAATATACATGCCAACACTCCTTTATCGAAGGAATGGCAAAAGTCTTCTGGTATTGTTTCGATAAAAGCACGTTGCCCTCATATCAACAGTAAAATATTTGACATAAATATAGCAACATAAATATGAAATATCTGCAGTAAAATATCCGAAAACACAAATAACTGTGCATTTGACGTGCTTTTCAATATGAAACCTCAACAACAGCCAAAGGCCTGGCCCTGGTCCGCCGCTCATCCGTACCAGTCCGGACGCCGATCATTTCCGTGTTGTGAATGCAGCCCTTGTGCGCCTGACGTCGCAGCGCCGCCGCTGACCGGCTGCCCTCCCATTTTGCAGACGCGGCACGTCTTCGGCGTGGCTGTGGGAGCTGCGCGGTCCAGCGGAGGTCACAGACGGCTCGGCGCGCCCCTCGGCAAGGTCGAACAGAGGTCACGGCCGTGACGGCGGGGCTGAGCAGCGGTCACGAGGGAGCAGTGCAGACTCTGGCGTGGGTGGACCGGGGATCGCAGACCAGCAGCGCAGTGCACGGCCGGGTCAAGGCGACAAGACAGTGACGTCGCTCCGGTCAAGATCAGACCGAGGTCACGGATGTCAGAATTCGAAGACGAGCGCGATTTCTCAGGGACGAGGTGGTCGGCGAGGCAGTCGCAAGGGCGGTGACCCGGAACCGGGAGCCGAGCGGCCATGCCGACCTTCATCAGTGTTTTCGCGTTCGCCGTCGGGACCTGGCTTCGCGGCTGACGTCGTGCTATGCCCAGCGGACAGCCTCCCTAGTGATGTGCCATGCCCAGCGGACAGCCTCCCTGGTGTGGTGCCATGCCCAACGGACAGCCTCCCTAGTGACGTGCCATGCCCAGCGGACAGCCTCCCTGGTGTGGTGCCATGCCCAACGGACAGCCTCCCTGGTGACGTGCCATGCCCAGTGGACAGCCTCCCTAGTATCATGCTCCGGCAACAGCCTCCCTGGTATCGTGCTCCGGCGGACAGCCTCCCTGGTATCGTGCTCCGGCGGACAGCCTCCCTGGTATCGTGCTCCGGTGGACAGCCTCCCTGGTATCGTGCTCCGGTGGACAGCCTCCCTGGTATCGCGCTCCGGCGGACCGCGCCTCAGCAGCGTCCTCTGTGCGTCGGCGTGCGTCGGTGTTTACGTGTGTCGAGACGTGACGTGCTGCCCTGTTTCGTACCTGTTTACCTGTTGCGATCGGTGTATCTGTGGGCTTTGTGTCGCACGCGCCCGGAGCTCGGTGTGCCCAGCGCCGCGCTGCCTCGCGCGGCTTGTCCCAA